GTAATGTTTTGAATATGTAATAATTTAATGTGAACATGATTTTAGACAAATTAATATATATGTAATAAAGATAAATAGCTTTAAATACTGATTTTTTTAAATGTTTCCACTATAAGTTGTCGCTACCATAATATGAATTGTTCATTTATATAAACAAAGTGATAAATGAACTCTTAATGAAAATTTACTATTCTTTTGTAATACGAAGAATGAGAACACCAAAAAAAAAAATAGAATTGTTTTGGAAAACTTTTCACAACACCTACGTACTTTTATCTAATACCTGCGGATTTAAATAGAACGAAGTGAAGTACATATTTACACTCATTCTCACAAACATTTTTAGCAAATAAAATATAAAAGTTTCTAATAAAATTGTCATCATGAAAATGAAAACCACATGTGCTGTTTTTATAAATAATGTAGGAAGTGTGCAGGATTAATACCGAACCAATAGCGTGCACAAGGGGGACGTTTTGCGATCCCTCTAAAATATTTAAAAATATTCTACACAAGGTATAATGAATTTTTTAAATTAACCGTTTTTATATGAAGTTTAAGATAGTTTTCAAATTAATTCAAATTCCTTTGAATGAAATTTTTTATACGCCTATGTACGGAACTGTGAACTTATGTACATGTGCAATTCCACTTTGAAAAACAACAGTGTTTCAGATATTTTTCATTAATAACAAGTATAAGTACTAAATATAGTATAAGTACTTAAGGTTGTTAAAATTTAAAACAATGAAATTCCTGCAAAACTAAAAACAAAACTTTAAATAATTGCAAAAATTTTGACCGAAAATATACTAAAAAATCATTTTGCACTTTAATAAAATAAATGAGCAAAAACGGAAACGGATGTGGCAACATTTAAGTGCTGCTTAATAAACACATTAACTATTATAAAATGGCGATTGAGTGTTTTATTTGTGTATGTGCGGATATTCGTGAAATCATTCGTGTTCTATGTTTGTGTTGTTAGAAATATTAGATAAATAAATAATAACTTTTAAATGTCCTGAAAATAGGTAAACTTTATATTGCTAAAATTGCTACATTTTTCCTGTGCATTAAATTTTGTTTATGAAGAGATAAAAATATTACAAAATAATAATTTAAAATGAGAAATTCAAGTTTGCTTAAGCTCAAAAGACTTTTAAACAAATATGTATAATTTATTCATATTTAAATGTAATCTGCCTGGTCTTACAAATTTTATAAGCTAGTCATTAATATATATGATTTTCTTTATCTATCTTGTTGGTAGTGTTATACTCCGTACGGAAATAGTATCCTGGTATCATATGGAAATATCACCGAGAATCTACTTACTACATCAGGAACTGGGATCTGCACCTCATACCTGCGATAGTAAAAGGACTTATAAAGGATAGAGCATTGATACTATGAAAGATAGACGCTTACTCTAATACAAGATTAAATCACTTAAAGACGAGTCCATTTCTAATCAGAGTAATAAGCTACTCTGATCTTCGCAACTAACAAATAATGGTTAAGTAACGCTTACGCATCATGAATTTAAATTACCTGAAATCCTCAGCAAGATCTATCAAATCAAATCCATCCAAATAGCATTAAAGAACTTTTTAAAAATGTATTGAGATTCATTTTATAAGATACTCGTATGATGTTTGTTTCATAGCTTCAATATCTTAAAATCAGTTATAATAGGTTGTTGATTTTTTGTAGTAGGTAGTATTGATTCAAAAAATAACAAATTATTGAATATGTATATTGTGTATACTCGTAGTGATAAAAGTTATCGAACAAGTTGTAAATAGTGTATATAATAAAAGTCCTTTAAAATAATACAAATTAGTAAGAAATATGCTTTATTAGCATTAATATTTAAAATATTTTCTGTTGTTACTATTTTTATCATTTTTATTTTGTCTTGAGGTTTAAATGGTTATATTTGCTTGCCTAAGGCAATTGTGGTCACTTTGTTGCCATAATAAGGCGTTACTTTGATTAAGTTTATTTACCGAATCTAATCTAAACTTATTGCTATAACTCACAGAGGAAATATAATTTTGTTTAGAGAAAAATGCTTTTTTATAATAAAAAAAATTATAATAAATAATTTGTTAAGGGAGCACATTTGCAGTATGCCATAATAATATCGAAATAAAAATATTTCTTTCCATGCAGTTTGAGTTCTGATAAATGTATTAACAAAATTATTTTAATGATTTCTATAACGAGTAGGTGACTATTTCAATACGAATGCACGATATTTGTTTAAATCTCACAATTTTATGTTTTTTTATTACAAGTATTAGGTATAAAACAAAATTAAGTTGTCAGTCTCATAAAAAGTAATATGTAATATACCAAATATATTCTTTTAATAAATGTTCGTTTAAATAAATAATGGAAGCTTGAATATTTTAAGTGTAAACGAAAAATAAAGTCAAAAACTGTAGTACGCTTATTTTCTGTGAACAGGAAATGAAAAATTTTAGACTATGTTGCTTTAATGTTTGAATACTAAATTTTGGTTTTATCAGCCAATATGCTTGTATTCGTGATGAAATATATATTCCTATATCAATCGAATGCATATGTTATTCATAGGCAACCTCTTTTAGTGTTTTAGAACAATTTAATTTTACTAAATAAAAAATATTCAAATAAAAGTATCATTTTTATTATATTTTTTTATTTGCTACTTCTAATTAAAATCTTTTGCTGGAAGGTTGAAACAAAATAAATTTTAATATTCATTCACATTTCGATATTTCTCAACAAAGAAGAGTTGTCAATTTAAATTATCTTAAAATTCTATTTTCAACAGTATTGTAACATTTCCCAATTTTCAAAAATAGTCAACTTATTAATGTATGGACAAAATTTGTTGAATATCGGTTATAAGAAATTATATTTCAAGGAATATTACAAGAAATATTTCACCCGATATCAAATAGTTAGCATGACTTATGGTTAATTTGATAGTAATTTCATTATGCCTCTTTTGAAGCGAATATTCCATTATAAAAATCATTCGCCATGGACTGATCGCCAAAATCAAGCTCTCGCAGATTTTGGCGAGTCATTATCGATGTGTGAGGCCTGGCGCTGTTTCAATGGAACACAATTTCTCTCCTTTTACCGAAAGCTGCTAGTTTCTGGGCCATTGTATCCTTCAAACGGTCCAATTGTTGACAGTACAGTTCCAAGCTAAGAGTTTTGCCGTAGGGGAGCAGCTTATATTATAGTAGATGATTCGCTGTCAAACACACCAAACTCGCATCAAAACCTTTCTGGCCGATTTTTTGACCACGGTTTTAGCAAGCTCACCGCGATTCGGTCAAGGAATTACCAAAGTGGCGATTTTTTTTTAGCACGAAATCTTAGTTTTTTCCAAGACCAACTAGATTTACCCGATCAGACATATCAACGCGTTATATGGATAACTTATGTTTTATCTCACTTTGTCATTTTGAAAAATCAGAAATTTTGTTTCCAGATAACTGTGTAGTGTGACGTTCAAGAGTAAGTAATATAAACAGATTAGATTATAAAGGCATCGAAATGGATATATTGGCAAAGATTAAAATGCTTTTTGGAGGGAAGTCTTGGAATTGGCCAAGATCCTAAAATAGTAAGCACCAAAAAGAAATTAAATCCACTTAACATATGGTAGTTATGAAAATATGAATTATGTTTTATGTAATTTTTTTGTAAATGTCAAACATTATTTGTCTTATAAATTCCTATATTCCGATACATATTCAGACCAGAGCTACTATTTTGAAAAATGTGTAATTCTTGGCGATAATGCAAATGTAATGCTTATGGTTTGTTTGTTATCCTTTAAATTTTGCCTCGTTTGATATACTATAAATGCAAATAATTTATATTGATAAGATAAATTTTTGATTTCAGGTATAAAAATATATTCTTTTGTTGAATAATATTTATTTTTAATTAAAATGAAACTGTAATCAAATGTCTTTCAAATTCCTAACATAGAAATCACTTACCTCAACACACTTCAAATATTTATTATGAATTAAAAATTGCATTTAGGATTTTAATTTAAAACACATTTTAAGACTTTATTTTAAATTTTACATGTTTACAACATATGATCTTCCACAAATTATTTTTATTTTACATTGAAAAATATATTTACAACATGAAATACTTATACCAGTACAAGTAATACAAATAATTTTATTTATTTATTTATGTTATTGAATTTTTAATACTAATTTCGAAATCTTAAAGTTAAGAGAACCTTAGAAAAATTACTTAGGCCTTATATTCAAAAGCTTCTCTGACTTGGTTTGCATATGCGTGTAGTGAAATAACATTTACGGATTTGTATCTTATTTAGGTACAATAAAATACCGAATCTAAATATGGTAGATATGATTTTAGTTCTTCTAAAAATAATCTTCGTTATTTTCTGTACTTTCCTACTACAATGTAGTTCTAGGTACTAAAAATCGAAATAATCTTAATTATTTTAAAATGTATCACTTAATAAGCAAAGTATTTGTTAATTAATGTAGAAGTATTTGAAATTCTTTTTCCATTGACTTAAGTTTATCTCATTTTAAAAAATATTGTATTAAAGCTTTTGAGATAAAACTGCAAATACGATATTTTATATAAAATATACCTTACATTAAAATTTAACCTTATACTCCACATGAATATATAAATTCTTTTATCCTTTTATAGTTCAATACTGCTTAGTCCTGTCATTGCAGTTACAACAAAATTTTTATTACATTTTATCGCATGAAACATGAAAACTTATGTGACGTTTTGACTTAAAGTACATTTTGGCGCTTTCGCTCAGCTCAGCTCCTATAAACGCTGTTGTTGGTTCAGCTGGAGACGTTGTTGTGTTGGGTGTAGTGCCCATTTCGCAACCGTTATAACTTTCATTACTGTTGTTGGGACCTTCTTGTGGTCTACGGTTGTATTTAATAAAATCTCACATAAGTTGATGGTGCTGATGTGAGCAATAATCGCTTATGTCGGTGGTAGCACTTCCGGCGCCATTTTTGCTACCGTTTGGTATCATGGTTATGGTTGTGTCCTGTAAGCGGCTTTTATGCAAACAGAATGACAAAGACAAAAATCAATATAAAAAATTTGTGATTTCTCAGTATGTACTGCCTATTGATGAATATTGAATACTAACCTTCTTATCGTGCTCTGATGATGGCAGGAATGTCTCGACTGATAGCGTTTCGATGCGGTGCTGGTCAAGGAAGTGTTCCGATGCATGCAAAGTGTGTCATGTTGGTGACGTTTTTTGTTATTAACATTTGTGCCTTGACAGAAGAGATATCTGCGATACCATTTTTGTGCGGATATGACAAAAAAAAAGAAAGACATTAAGGATAATAAAGGTATAGGGTGTGCTAGGATCATATGCTTTCAATGTGCTTAAATTCATGCACTTCGTTTAATACTTACAAGTTATATATTTCTACAATGAATTTTTGCAATTACATGATAATATAGAATACGATTACCAAAGACACTACACCGTCTTTTGAAAATCAAACCTTTCTTCAGTAAAGGTTTTATTTTATTCTGAATACATTAAACAAAATTTTATTTAAAAAAAATTGATTTTAGGGTTGGTAGGAATAGGTTTTGTACTCGATTTTGAATTTAATATCTTTTAAACTATTCTATTAAATAACACAATCTGTATCAGAATATTTATCTTAACTAAATAGATCATAAAGGTGATTTTGAAGAAATTTTTTGGAATGCTGTTAAACTGAATGTCGTAAAAAGACTATTTACTGAAAGAGTCCGACTCTTAGGCACTTTTTTTTAAATCAAAAAATTAATATATATATATTAATATATATATATTGTTATCTAGAATAATAAAAATGTCTCCAAGAAACAAAAGAAGGGAAAATGTGCAATACTCTAAAAATGAAGAGAATTGGTAAAGCAACAAAAGGAGCAAGGAAACACCAGAGCAACGTAGTGAGTGTATTAAGATAATACAGAATAATTGTTGAATAAGTTTCTTATATTTCCATACCAAGTTACATATTCAAAAATTTAAAACAATAAATTCATTTGAGATTCAAGAAAGTTGGTGAAGTTGGAGGTGAATATATGTTTTGAGCAAACTCAAAATTATGACTAAAGATAATTACGACAAAACTACATTATATACTACCTCAAATAATTTATTTTTTTAAAAAATCAAACAAAATCAACTAAAAAAGGTCTTATAATTATATACTTTACTGTTTGTTGTTTTAATTTTAAATAGTCCTATTTAGATATTTTATTAATTTTTGAAATTTTTGATCACATAAACTTCTATATATTTAGTATAGCTAATCGCAATTAACTGGTATACAAAAATTATCCTATAATATAAATAGTTCCCAGTTACCGTAATGTATTTCAAGTGAAAATTTTATAAAATTTCATTTATGTTCAAAGCTGAAATTTTGCAAATAAATCAATCAATTCAATTGAAGTTCACTTTAGAATTTTGTTAAATATTTATATACGATAGATACTATTTCTATGCCAATCGTTGGTTAGTAAGCAAAATTAAATACATTTTTGTGGAAAATTGGATTAGTTATTATATATTTGTGCGTTATGTGTATGTAATTTAACACTTGATTTTATCATACTTCAGGATTGTAGTGAATTAACAAATACCTATTAAAATGTTTGCGAAAGGCTCCACTGACGAAGTACAGTGCCACAGGATTTGCGCAGCTGTTTGCAAATGACATGCAAAACCCGACAATTCGCAAAATATGCCAAAAAGAATTGTAATCTTCCTGTGCAGTGGGCCTGAAATGAGTTTAAATAAAAATGTAAAATTAATTTCATTAGAAATCGCAAACGAATGCTCAAAAAATAATTAAAAATGTATCGTGACTACTCATCTTAAAGTCTTAGCAAATAATTAATGCTGATATTAATGTAAGTAAAAATACTTCTATTACTTACCAATAATAAAACCACAGCATGAAGACGTGATATGGCAAAAAGCATATGCCGAATATCACTACGAAAGCCAAAACGGTTACAGCAACCTTACGTCTAGCTCGAACCTAAAATGTGTAAAGTAAATATTAGAGCTTTGTATAGTTTTTTTTAAAAAGATTTTTATTTAAAAAATGACCAAAAATATGATTTATTTCCTAATATTAATTTAATGTCAAGGATGAGTAGGCTTAGTACATAAGTTGAATCGGAGACCACTGTCAGCAGTGGTAAGGAAGACTTTCCATGGCGTTAAGATTGAAAGCAAAAATTGAAGCATATCCTTAAACAGGTGGGCCATATGCAATCCGCGGCTAATGTTTGTAGTTGATCTAGTAAAACCATATTATTTTATTTTTATGGTATACCAAGTAAATGAATCTAAATTGTTGTATTAATGAAACTAGTTTTAACTTTATAACCGTGTTATAATACATAGATGAACGCATGTATTTGTTTTTTGGCGGCCCTCCATTCTGTACAGTGATTGGTGTTGGTCCGAGATTGGATCTGATCTGGACACTCCTGTCCTAAAATATGGAGTCAACGGCGATATATGTATGAGTATTAGAGGCATACGAACCAATCAATCTATCAACTTCCATTTACGCAATTGATGCAGTTAAAGTCGGATGTCTGATTCGCTTAATAAATATAACTAAATATCTTCGCTTACTAAATCTATTACCCAATGAACGCAAATACCAATATTGAACTAATCCTACATTGCTGCTCTGAGGTCTAGAAACACATATACAACTTCTAATGAAATTTGCATATATTTAGCAAATACTCTAGTATTGTTTGTCGTTGACTGGTACGTAATCTCTTATACTTTTTATTGTTTTTATGAGATTTTTTTCTTATAAAATTAGAAATCAAAAAAAAAAATTGCTTTGTAAAAATGAGTTTTATAGCTTTAGTGTGATTGAAAATCCACAATTACATCAATCAATATTAATTAATTTAATCATGTGGAAATCTTCATTTATTCAAGGTGATTTTCAAAAACCGCTTATCAATCAATACAAACACATAAAGCACTTGATTTAAGCTCATTAGTAAATATCTTAAATCTTAATATCTTTGAAAAGCATTATTCAATTATTTCATGGAATTTTTGCTAATAATCTAATGTCCCACAAAGCAAATTCAGATTAAGAAATTAAGTTGAGCTTCTACTGCTACCTGGAATTTGATTAATAGCAAACATGCTCATCACCTAATCTATCTCATGGAATGTTTTTGTATTCTTGCTATCACTTACCTGTCTAACAGCACCTTGCATCTCGCCCGGTATACTGGCTGTAAACATCAAATGTTTGGCTATCAGTGCGTAAAATACTCCAATTATGATGAGTGGTATAGCATAGTAGACCGAAAACCTTAACATTACCATTGTTTTGGCATATTGCATGCCCCATTCCTCAGGGAAAGGATAACAGAGTGAAAATGATTTGTTCCTATTAATTTCGATTTTCTATCCATGTATAAAAATATACAAAAAGAAAAGAAAAACAAAAATGATAAGGAGATAAGTGACCAGGGAAAAAACAATTTTAATTAATATAATATTTATGTCAATATCATAGAACAAATTCTATTTTACTCACTTTCACATAAGTTCCAATCAGCGCCGGTAAGCCGCATAAAATGGCTAAAATCCAAATAAAAACCGCAATTGCAATAGTCATGCGAGTTGCACGCTTTCCACCACCTACAGAAAAATACGGAAAAGCAATAAAAAATTCATTGTAAACAACGATTAGTTCTACTGTCCCGTGATTTGTTATCTAAAGCAGGATATACTATACACTATAAGCTGTATAGTGTATGGTAGTGTATGGCTGTTTACTGTACATACCATGAGCATGGAATTTTCTTAGGGGATCCACAATTGCAAAGTAACGATCGCCTGATAAAGCAGTAAGTGTAAACACGGACACACCAATTGACACGTCCTTAATGAACTCCGAAAGCGTACAAAGGAAACTACCCCATGGCCATGAATCCACTGTATACACGGTGGAGGTCAGTGGTACTGTTGTAATTATTACCAACATGTCAGCCAGTGCCAAAGAAAGTATATACCTGCAAGAGTGAATTGAACCAAAACCATTTTATAAATAAAGCCACAATTTGTACATTCAAAGCAGAGAAATTCTAAGTAAAATATAAAATGTAGTAAGAGTAATTTTGCTTAGCGGTTATTAAGGTGTAACAAAGTAAATTTTTAAATCCTCGTATTTCTCAACAGGGAATCGTTTTTAAAATGTGTGACTACTGGAATAATAATCAGTCATCTAAACTGAGAGGTGTAGGCACATAGTACAGTGTTAACTATCAATATGCCATGTTTTTCTGACTCTTTGAGATACTAAAAGTTACCAACTAATTTATTTATATTTTTTATTAATAAATAATTCAAAATCTTAAGGATAAGTGTATGAAAATAACAAATAAATTTCCTACCTAAAAGCTTAAATGCCATTTTCGAACCAGGAATTGTTTAAATCAGAAATTGACAAATTGATAATCATAAATTTGAGTTATCGCTGTTTTCTGGAAATGGCAGAAATGATTTAAACACATTTCGAGATTAATCAAAATTTATCTTCGATAAATTGTACGTGGTAACCACGTATATTCTGCGTTTGCAGAATACAAATCAAAGTAAAATTGAATTTTTATCAAAAAGATCAAATATCTTTAGGTAATCCCACTCAAAGGGAAGCCAAGGGTGGTTATAAGTCATCAACTGCGGACAGCAAATTCAACATATAAAGCATTGACTGCGGTCAATAGTGTCCTTCATTATGAATATCTTAAGTTAAAAATAGATTAGGTTATTCAAATAAAGTGTGTATACACATTTTATAGATGCTCAATGCAGTTTAAATGTATTTTGATTTATTGCTTCTCTCTCTTTAATTAAATTTTAATGGTCAAATTAACCATTAATTTTAATACTCATCGAATAATTGTATTCATGTATTAGAAGTAAATGTCACATATATCATTTATCTGCCATAAGAATATATCTTAAACAATTACTTAAATGGCTTAAAATGTAGATTAAAGATATTAAATAATTAATATAACCAAAAACCAAAAATATAAATATATAAATATATTTTATATATATATGGTTTTTATGTTTATAATAATACATTGTGACCGAAAAGTTTTCGGAAATTCTCATTTAAAATTCGCGCGCTGTATATTTTTCGATATTTTAAGTTTATGTAGTTTGGCAGCACTGTCCTTAATTACTATGCCAAAAATGAGCGCGATCTGTCAGACAGTTCGTTTACGGCAGCTGTTGAAACCAGTTCACCTCAGTAATGCGTTGCGAAAAAAACAATGGAAAAAAATATTGAACAAAGAGTTTGCATCAAATTTTGTGTTTCGAACGAAATTTCGTGTGCAGAATCGTTGCGAATGCTAAAAAAGGCTTATGGGGAAT